ATAAGTGTTATTAAATATCACCTGACTAATCTCTGTGCTCCATGGTTTCAACACATGGTACGATTACCAGCCATTTTTTCCTTCCTCATAGTCGACAAGAAGATCCATGATTTCCTTGTCATCAATATCCCCTTCAGCCTCGAGCATTTTTTCCTCCTTTTTTTCTATGATTCTCTTTATAGCCCTTTTTTGCCGTTTCCTAGCCTTAGTTCCCCAATCAGCGCCGCTGGCGATTCGATCATTTTGGTTATCTTCTGAATCGCTGTGTGTAAGGTCCACTGTGCCAGTATCCCGGAGCTGATTAGGAGAGAGTTTGTCACCAGAAGTAGAAGCATCTGTATCAGCAACTTCGGCGTACTGTTTTGCCTGAATTTTGGCAGCAAATTTGAGCAGGTAAGGGCGTAGAAGTAGATATCCTCCGACAATTATAACGATTCGAATATAGTCGCGGAGGCACATCCCATCCCACATGCCCCATACATTGCGAACTAGATTGTCGCCACCTTGTTTGACAATTCCTGAGATGGCCGACATGCTACAGGCGGGAATTTAGTTAACGGATGAGATAAATGGCGAATGATGGATCTTGGCTCCAATTTGAACGGGCGTAGCAAAGATGACGAGATGCGATTTGTTAAGAGCTGCTTTAGTAGATTGTAATTATTAATTCGATAATTTCCTTTATCAGTTTACAGCTTTGAAGGGCGAGAAGCAGTAGAGAGTATCAAGAATTCGGCAAGATCGAAATCGAGATGGATGAGTATACGGAGATGTCAAGAATGAGAGTGGAATCTTGTTGGAATTTATAGGCCTGCGTGGGGATTCAGTAGAGTGCGGATGTGCAAGTGCCGACAGCTTGTGGTCTTTAGAGGCAGGGCCATTTGGGTTAATTGCGAAACCGGGGCCCGCGGCATAGAGGTGGACTAGCGCCAGTTGTGGCTGATGGGTGGCGACCTCGTTAGTCACATGACTCCATGTTATATGCTCTTTCCCGGAAGGCAGGCCTATTCCGTCATTAATTCATAGCCTAAGTGGGCTAGTGTCGAAACATTATTGAGTTTCAGATGCTTTCAAAGAAGAGCATTGATGACAGAGCTTGTAAAGATAGAGAAATAAGCGGTATTATCTACTCAGGTAATCGGTGGCGTAAAGAAGCTTGTGATAAATATTTCTGACTATGCACTACAACTTCGGGTGGAGAAGTTGTGCAATCATGGGGCCAAAAACTCATCACATTTCAGCTGTGTACCCTACAAAACTTCAGTTATTACTGTAAAGTCTACAGATCCGAGATTGGGTATCACCTTCTTCCTCACTTTCATTAGGGATCGCACTCGCTTCGGCCATCTGTATCGTGTTTATCTCTGAGCATAACACCCTATTACCATTATCATGAAGCCAACTACGATCAGATAAGATGTTAGGGTAGAAGCTCTTATTATCACTAACCCTTGATCATGGAGGAGAAGCCATCCGATAAATTTCCGGAGCGTACCCAGCACCCGATGCGGAGATGGTGGATTGGATCAAGTTGACATATTTTAATGCAGATGGAAGATGTAGATGAATATACACATCTTGTGTGGCGCTGGCTGCAGTTATAATGAGAGTTTTTCCCACGCCCGCAATTTCTATTGCTACCATTTCTTTGGGATTATAGGTTCTGTGGAAAAGATGGCTGAATTCTATGGGTATGTAGTGAAAGGAATGGCTGTTTATTTAGTTCATATATCGGGGATCGTTGCTCCTAGTAAAAGAGAATAGGAGGACTGAACAAAGTGTGGCCTGATCCAGAGATAAAGTCAATGTGCTAGCTAGTCATAGAACTCAGTAATACCAAGAATCACACTGTCGGATTATTGTGGATAAACTACTTTATCACGTGGCCGTATCAGGTGACACACGCCGATGGAATTTCCCACGTAGCCTTAGTGAGGGTAGGACAGAGAACAACTAAGAATAATTGATGACATACTGCTAGAAGCTACTCATTAAATACACCTGTCAACACAAACCAGTATTGTAAGAAATGGTGCGGAAGAGCAGAGCGTGCTCGAGATGTTATCCGCAATAGCCCACGGATGCTATAATATTGTAGGACCTTGGACATTGAGATTGGAACTTAAGGCAAGTGAAGTATTAGCGCGACAATTCATTAAATAAAGATCTAACCTGTCCTACTTCGAAGCTGTCATTGCTGCGAGAACAGGGCATGGGGATTTTGCGGCGTATCACCGTCGCTTCAAGCACGAAGATGCAAATCTGGTTTGTAGCTGTGGGCTAGAAAAGACGCCCACCCACTTCATACGCTGTCGGAGATACAATATTCCGACGCGTAAACTTAGAAATGACTTGAGCTTAGATGCTTTTACCAGGCAACTCCTCGGACATAAAGGGTTAGAGAAGTTTAAAATTCTTGCATGGGTTACAGGCTGCTTTGGTAGACTGGACGCATCCTAGTTCTGGGCTGAATGCAAGGACGGGTTTAGGATGAATGCCAGGGCAAATACGCTGGCGAAGGAGAGCTCAGGATAAGGATGGCTGACTCAAAACCATTGATTATTTTTTATTATTATTTCTTTTCTTTGTCTACACTACATTATTTATTTAACGAGCGCATGATTTATTAGCTCTTAAATGGGTGTGAAAGAGTAGGGCAAGCCTAAAGGTTAAATCTCGGCCGGCTCCACCGGTCCTACATCTAAATGGATTGAAGGCTATGGCCTAGGACTTAAAACTAAAATAAATAAATACTTCGAAGCTGATTATTAGTATCAAGACAACCGGCAAGCAGCATCCGTGAAAGGATACTCAAGCCACTTAGAAGTGTTCAAAGGAAATTCCTTAAGACCATTTCGGGGGCATATCAATCGACCAGTAGTAGAATGCTAGAGCATGAAACATCAACTTTCCCGATAGAGATCTACCTTAAACAAAGGCGGCCTCAATATACCAGGCTATGCAACAACCTACCTGTCGAACAGACAATTTCAACTGCAAGCAGAAAAATCAATATTTTTGATGAAGAAAAGTTAAATAAACGCGATCAGAATGGGAGAGATGATATAGCGGGATGGACCCTAATCTGCAGCAACATCGAGTCTAAAGCAGGACAGAAGTAGCCGGTAACATCGCCGCGCTCAAGGAATGGTCAGAATCCTGGACGAGCCAGAAGAAGAAGCGGCGCTTGGGTCCCCGAGCGCAAGCCAATGCGGATTAGTGGAAAGCTTCAAAGTTATATAACAACGAGAAAACAGGTAGACTTGTGATGAACCATAGAAAGTCACCTATCCAAATCTACCAAATCCTTAGCAGGGCCCAGAGCAGCATTGCCACACAAGTAAGAAGCGAGCACATTGGGCTCAATGCTTACTTATACAGGAAGATTGTGCTAGGAGTAGGAAAACCATGCTGCCAATGTGGATATCCGTCCCAAAATATAAAGCACATGGTGATGTCTTGTCCAAGATGGGCAAAGGGAAGAAGTGAGTTGCTACGAAAATCGATAATCTGATCCTTCGAAGCTATGGTAAATAACGTCAAAGATATGACTAGAATTGCACACTGGATTCAAGAGGAAGGATGGCTAGAGCAGATTCGGATGACCGGGGAAATCGAGGCGTTAATCAGGCGAAGAGAGTAAAATGGAAACACAGGTTAAGGACAGAATCCACACTGGCAACAATAGTGTGAGTGCACTTCCTAGAGGTAAGACTATAATCGCGTAGAGTCCAATCAGACAGCTAAGAGGATTTTTACTGCAAGGTTTCCTCCTGTGTAAATATCAAAGTTCGTAGGCACCTGCATGGGCCCATAGGGCGCCAAATTGGGCTAGATGAAACCAAATTCAAAAGTATCAAGACAATAATTACATGCTTGGCACGTGAAGAGCTAAGGCAGATATTTAGCTTTTCCTCTCGGCCGGATTGAGTGACCTGCGTCCAAATAGAGTCTCGACCCAGATGACTAACTGGTGCCACGCCAAAGCACAGAGATATATTGAATCACGAGCCGCGTAGCCCATTGGACAAAAGAAACCTTCCCTTGCAGCTTTCCATCCCCGGCCCCACAAACCTAAGCCAGATAAGCGGAATGCACCAAATGAAAAAACGAAATAATGCGAAATCTCGTGTCTCGATGTTTACTCGTGATCGCTTTTCACGCCACGTCATCGGCTAATCTGTCCAGAGCTGCTTGTTTATCGATAATGCTAAATAAGCCTGCTGTATCATCGTCGGAGATGTGGTGATAGCAGGCCTAGGATGATAGATGGCCCATAATTTATTTTCATCATGGGACACAAAATTAGATAGCCAAATGTGAGATTACGTTTATCCTGAAATAGATATATCACCTGAGAAGAATTTGCCTTGCAAAAGCTTGATACGCCTGCGCACTGATTTATGAAATGGAAATAAATGCCATAGATCACATGTTGCAACATTACATTGTTCGCTCAGAGGCCGCAGGTGTCTCATGCAAGTGAAAAGTCTATGCCTTTACTGCCGATCTATGTTTTCCAGGCCTGCATGTCCTACACAATGCAAAAAAAAAAAAAAAGTCCTACATAGTTATAGACTCAGATAGGACAATAATGTGAATTAATAATAATATGTTTTTCAGGCCGAGCTGAAACCCGATCAACTCCACCCGTATCATATCGGCATCGAGTTGGAACTTAGGCGGGAAGATTAGTTGTCGGATTCATTGGCTGCATAATGAAATGCATCTGATCATCTCTGTTATTCTGATATTAATCTCAATCTCAATTCAACCATTATATTGGTGACAGCATGACCGTGGGTATGTCATTAGTATCCATGCAAGCTGTAGAGTAAGAATCAAAACATTAACAGCGAAAGAGGATTGGACCGGACTTACCATTTGTGGAGTTATTACTGTCGTACCTATTAAACCACAAATTTTATTATATTACCTAGTTAAATATCTGGTGAATTCACTTTCCACTTTTAATCACCTCAGCCTGTAGTACAAAGGCCCTAAGTGAGATTTAAATAAGCTGCTAGGCTACCAGTAGCCGCTTCACTTCTGAGTTGGAGCAAGTTTTCTGAACTCAAGGAGGTTGAACTTCCAACGATAGCGAGAACGTTGACTGTTATGTCCCGAAGCAAATTTTCGTGTGAAGTCTCCAAACTCTTTCTGTCTAGAAAAGGCTGTTGTTTGAGCGAAAATCTTGTTTGTGGCCATTGTATGATCAAACTATGCCCATGATACTTTTTGTCAATGACCAGCTCAAAAACTAGATCCCACAAGAATCCCATCTTCATGTCATGACCAAGGCTTATTTCTTTGGAAAATTTAGAACTGTGAGTAGATATCCCACCAACAATCAGGTAAAATGATGCGGATCGAGTGAGCAACATTTTACGCCAACTTGCTTGTGCCCGTCTGAAGGCGTTAATTTTCTTGAGGCTCTGATTCCAAGGTAACAGTCCAAAGTTCTCTCTTAGAAGATGACGTGTTGTTTCCATGTAAGTTTCATCGCCTATTGAGCAACAGATTGAAGGATCGCAGCTATCCAGGTTGGTGGTAGGAAAGAAGAGCGGAAAGGCGGAGACAAGAAGAGGGTTTAGCTCAAATTTTTCCAGTCGGTGGGGTCCTTTCCGATCAGGCCAATACTTGTCTCGGGAAGGCCGACTAGATCGAAAAAATAAAAGGTACTGAAGCGTTGATGAGGAGGAGATAATATCTTTGAATGTGCGATTAACACGGCTAGCGAAGAGGAGTGTTAGTGGGTCGAGGTTTGAGAGTACGATCTCAAGAATCTCTGGCACTTCCAAAACACTTGACATCCTGCCAAGCCTAGGGGATATTGAAATTACCATTAAGATCCATAGATACGTGAGCAAGCTCTGAAATAGAATGAGGGTAGACATCCTTTAAATCTTTTCTCGTGAATCACGCCCCAAAAGGTTTAAGCAATAAAGTCTTAGCTTTTCCATCTTTTCAATTTTGGGACTCAGCGCAAATCTTAATAAACGGAGGGATTTACGTATGAGGGGCAGATGGGAACTCTGTACAAAGTTCTTCTTAGCCCATGTTGTATGAGCTCACGTGCAGGGGAAGCGGATAGATGACTCGTAGTCTGATAGGCATGTAAGTGTAGAGTGGCTCTCGGAATTCAGTTGAAATAAAGTGATGCATGCAGCTGCAATAGACAAAAGGCCGTGTCCAGAATGCGGAGGTTTGAAAAAATGCATAGCTCTCGGTCACGGGTCCGTACGCTAACATCAACCTCCATATGAAGCAGCATGAGACGTACATGGCTCTAAAAGTACATACTAGACGGCAATTATTGTCGATCGGTAGTGCCGGTAAAACAATTACACTTCTAGGATTCTCTAGATATCTACACGTTAGAGACAGCTTCTGCATTTTAGATTAGTAACACGGATTAGTGGTATCGTGTCTGATATGCATGTTGTAGAGCACGCAAAACATTTAATGGGCGATGACACGGCTCAGTAGGAATCAGGATCACGTAATCTATCCGCGCTAAACTTAGAGGATGTTGAGGCAAATGAGGAGTGTAATAGAATTTATTTCGCCGATTTGATCATGTACCTGTCAATTCCGCGATCTGGTTACTCCGAGGCGACATGGCCATGAGTGGTTTAAAAACTCTGAGGCTGAGACGGAACAAATTACAACTATAGATAATGAATAAGTTTAATTACGTCCCATTTGGCTGGATAAATGGCATCTTGGAGAGGCAGGTATTACCAAATGTCAATTAGTAAGCCTGAGTCAAGAATGACATCTGTCAAATGATGAAGAGGGCAAAAAAGCGCAGGTATTTGCCCAGGGAAAACTGTGGGAAAGGCCCCCATGAAAAACGGTTCTAATCCGGCCAAGTTTTAACGAAGTATGAAACTTGACCGAATTGGAATATTAGTATCAACAAAGTATATCGCAGCTTAATTCGAGGGTTCCTAAAAATAAACCGCGGTCGTGTAGTGAAAACTTGGCGTCATTATATCCGACCATTTTGAGTGTTGAACAACAAAAGTGATCATGATTTATCTTGTTCATTAGGAACCTAACAGCATCCAGAGCGGTTGGGCTCCAACAAGACATGATCAAATATCTTCCCATAATTGAATACAAAATTATGAATGCATGTTGAAACAGCCAGATATTTTTAAACTTTCTGTTGACGGGACCTCACTAAAGTGGGCTTACTGTATCGTATAAACAAACATACTTCATGATGGTACCTCATAATGAATCCATATCAAACTAGATTGGATCTTTGATCAGTCCCTATGTCAAGACGAAAGAGGACTACTAGAGTCTGCAAAGAAAGTTTAGCAACTTTGAAATTCTTTTGTGGCTATATTTTAGAGATAGACTACGGCTGATTATTTGCTACCAAATTCTGCATTAGAAGCAGTGATTTCTGTGTTAAGACTTAATCTGAAGTCTTGTCATGCAACACATTATGGAGTAACTTCGATATATGTCTCGCAGATACTCATCTCAACAGTTTGAATGCACACGGAGTTTTCCCAGCCGTAAGCAACCAAGTGAGATTTGGAAAGTAAATTTGCAAGCAGATCTAGCTTGACTATGAAGTATAGATTCAGTGCTCAGTGGACAATTGGCGTGGAAAGGGCTTTATTGAATGTTCTGGGATTAATTTGAGCCCAAGGGAGGAAACAAATAGGTTCTTTGCTGGCTTTTCACTTAATTGTAGATACTAATCCTTCATCTCTTTAGCCGTTTTACTCATTGTGGACCTTAATGTATTCTTCTGTATACCGAAATACGACGGGCCATCGTTATTTTATGATTACTTTTATGTGCAACAAGATGAATAAGCGTCGTGATTCTATTATGATTGGTATATGTTAGACTCTATGAGTCAATTGAATAATGTAAGATGTAAAAAGTGTCAATTAATTCCTGGCTGCCCTTTCTCTTTCTGTTACTATCTAGATTATGTATGTCCAGAAAATGGCAATGCTCTATCTGTCCCCGACTTGTCCCCATGAACCAAGTTTCTAATGGTTTAGAACGAAACATCTCTAGTCAGAAGATATAGAGTTCTTATTGCTACAACGCAGGCGAAAAATCTTTGTCCGAAACAAGTAACTCCATGCTTTGTAAATCTAACACCTTAAACTCCATATCTGACATTGATCGCTTCTAAACTATCCATAGTTTGATAGTATATGATTTGGGAATGTACACTTGCGCTGGAACAGCTTAGATAGTTTGTGGAGAGATATCTTCATTAATGTGCAGAAGTGAAGATACTATGATAATTGTTATGTTACAGATTGGGGGAAGCCTGTCCCTTATTCCCTAGCTTGTTTGCCTGTAGACTGATTACGTGGTCAGTATGCAGCGCACCAAAGTGTGTATCCAACTGAGCAGCCATGCCACTTATCCAACATCAATAACCCATCTCTCATTTCGCACAATTCGAGAAATTCGAAAACTCCCTTTTTCCACCCCTCTCGATCTTGTGGCATCAATCTCTGAATTGTGATCGAGCTTGAGGCATTTTCACCAGGCCTCCTGTTCGAAAAAATGGTAAAAACGCGACGATGAACAACACGAGAGTCCGCCCGAGGGCTCTCGCAAAATTGTCTTGCCTTGCCCAGTCTCCGAAATCTGCGGAGATGGGTTAGGCCGTTTCGAAAGGGAAGGAAAAAGCCCTCCCCACCGTCGCTGAGCCCGATACTGACATGATCGGGTCAGTTGAAATTGTTGAGGAGGTCCCTTGACGAACCTCCAACCCCCACGGGATTGGAGAATCGTCCAAACTTCCACCGACCGAACCCAAACCGTTGGAAAACGCTGCACCCAAAGCAGCATCAAGATCAACGTCGCAGCCAATTGTTGCCACGAAAGCAAACTGCCCGCTCGAGCTTCGACCAATTATGGAGACCGAACGATCCGCCGCCGAGGCAGCGGCAAATCTGGCACTCTATTCCGTCGCCATCTCTGGTGTCGAAGCAACCCTCCTCCCTTTGAGCAACGGGTCAAACAGATAATCTGTAGACTCAATGAGGCTCTACCTACGAGCCGCCATCGCGCAATACATGGCCTCGGCCCCGGCCTCTACGCCACCCGGCCTCCCTCCTCGCCCAGCGAATCCCCTCCTAAGGGCTCCTGACGCCAGGAGCCAAACAATACCCGCCGACACAGTGCTGCCTGTCAAAGCACCTGGACTACGGTGGCCAAAAACGGACTGCGACAAGCATCAGTCCCTACTTTTAAGGTTGTGCCGCGACCTGCGGCCAAAGCCCGACATAAAGAAATTCTCAAGGCGGAAGTCGACAGGCGACTGTTCCTTCGCCTTGAAAAGGACCGCCTATGGCGAAAACTGTCCAGAAATATCGTGAGAAGTATTGTGGAGAGTACATTCCACTACTCTCACGATAAAATAACCTCGCTCCATCGAGTGAAGACCGGATCTGCTATGCTAGCAAAGAACGAAAACATACGACAAGAGATGTTAGATGCCTCTTCGGAGCTGGCGAGTGTTAACGTCAAACTCGAAGCATTTTCTGAACTTGTCGCCTTACAGATGCCGAACGTACCTGTAAGTAAAGTTACAGAGCGCGTCCCTAGAGCGGCCGATGCTGAGTAGGTCTCCGCCTAGATCGCCATTACGACCGGCGTGTTTCCAATCCAGGCCTGACCTCATGGGATGTGTCGATCTGGAGCACCTTATCGAAACTGGCATGCCATTTTCGACCGGGTCTCCGCCCTTCGTGAGGGCTTCCGCCCCTTCGACGAGTCTGGTATTGCTACCATCCACAAGCCTCGTCGACCAATCGAGAAGTGTAAACGTTGTTTGGCCTTCCATGCCACTCGTGGTTGCTCCCGCGCTCCAGGCTGCTGGAACTACGGATCAAACATGCACTCGGAAGCCGAGTGCAAGGCCCTCACTAAGTGGTAACTGTGGGGGACCCCACCCACCGTATGACCGGGACTGCCAAGTCAGACCCAGAAAGTCTAGACCGGTGACAAAATAGCAGCTCGCGTGGATTCGCCACATCGAACAAGGGGAGTTCGCGAAGGTGGCACGAGCCAGGGCTGCAGCAAAAAAGGCCGAAGAGGCGATCATCGCCGCGGCGAAGGATGTCTCGATGGCCGAGGCAACAGGTTTCGGAGCTCTGCGATCTAAAGAAGAAGCCTGAGGGAACAGTAACCTCTACGATGTCCCTTCTAGGGCATCTACTAACCAATGGCAGGAAACCGGCTTGATCAAAGGTGCTTACTAACATATCTCTTGCTCTGAGCGGAGATTGAGCAAATTTGTCATGTGGAAGGTGTGAAGGACGACGGAATATGTGAGGAGTACACTGTTTGGGTCCAACATGGAGGAGTATTCTATTTTTCGGGTTATTTTGATGTTTCTGATTTTTCGTTTTTGTTTAATTAGCTGCAATTTTGGCAGCGATTCACAAAGTCGGAACGAGTTAGGCTGTAGGAAAATTTACGGGAAACCTTGCCGGATCCATCGGTCCTCCACCTAATGTGGATAAAGAGCTGTAGCTTAGGACCTATCGTAATAATAAATAATAAAACTGCACACAGTGCTACTTGTAATGCTGTTATGTACAGAATGGATCTTCTTCATGCGCCATTATGCCATACTGCCATAATAACTACCTATGCACCAGCTACTAGATCTACCATACTACATGGCCGAGCATAACATATTCAAGTCCTAGAACGGAATAAAGAGTAGAATTGCCATGGAAAACCAACTGTCAAATAAACAACACTGTCCGCAACAAAGAAAAACTGCTTAAACAAAATACCTTCTCTGATAATTGTCATTATCAATCTTGACGGAAACACCGCTACTGAAGACGAAGATGTTAGAATCATGGCAGGCTAGTCTTTCCCCAACTTT